TTAGGACCACCTGCCGGGGAGTGGCACTGCCCCTCTGTATAGGTGGGCCCACCCGGGTCCACCCACCCACATCAGTCAGTAGCCAAGAAACTACCTGACGTGCAATCCTGATAGGCCAATCTTATGGGGGCATTTTCTCAATTGATAATGCTCTTCCCAGAGGACGCTAGCTTATGTCAAGTTGACCAAAAAAATGGCAGGTGGTCTCAGTGAACTAAAATCAGAGTGACAGCCAGGCTACACTGCTTCATGGAACCTCCTGGAGAGCATTGCTTTGGCGTTTCCAGCTTCCACAGCCGCTGCCATTTCTGCATGTTCTCCCACCATCTTTGCCTGCAATGGCCAGTGTAGTCTTCCACAGTAAATAACAATGCTTCTTCCCCCTCCGCTCTTCCAAGGATCCTCAAGTTTATATTACACCCTTCCCTTGGATAGCCCAAATAATCTCTCTGTTCTAAAGTAAACTGATCAGGAATTGAGTTTCCGTCTCCTTTCTTAATTCTCTTTTGTCACACAACCGAACACAGTTGCAAATTCTACTGACTAAGTAGAATGTCTTTGCCAAGTCATTATCTGTCCTCCTCAGGACTTGGCTTCTGTTTCAAGAATGGTCACGAATTAATGCAACGACAGGTGGGACTGTCTTATGGATAAGCTGAGCTCGGGGATCTATCCAGATTGGCTCTCCACTACCACGAGAATATGACCTTGCTTCGCTTCTGCGTTTTTCTTCTTACAGCTGTTCAGTTTCCCAGAGCTTATCCAAAAATCATAGAAATGCATGGAGCATGAACAAGGTCATCTCATGCATCACATTTTAGGAAACTTCTGGAAATCTCCAGCAGATCCTCTCCCCTCATCCCTTCCCTGTGTCTAAGAGGGCTTCAGATCCTCTTTTCATCCCACTGGCTCTCTATGCCTTAGAAACCTTCTAACTAGGACTCTGTCCTCAAAGTTATATGAAAATGCCCCTCCTCTATCCCCTGCCTCCAGAGATCAGGCATAACTGCTGACCTCTGTTCATCTCCATCAGTGTGAGGCCCTAAAAGAGCAGGACTGTTCCTAGCAAAAAGAATAAGTTAATAAACTCAGCAGTCGCTAATTCCTTACTTCCTACAATACAGCAGCGTTTCTTTGCCTCTTAGACACCATTTCACAGAAAAGATAAAAGAGATAAAGGGGGAAGAAAAGAAACAGAAAAGGAATTTAAATTGAAGGGGAATAGAATGGGAGCAAGTAGAGCCTTCCCATTCTGCAGCTAATCCTCCTAAGGCTTTCAGATACATTCATTAGTATCCCAAATACCCCTTCTCCCCCCTCCCTGCCTCCTACCACAATGCCAGGGCTGTGTTGCAGTTACACCAAGTCCTTTAGGCACTACCATAAGACCAAAGATTCCACCTGTGTTCCCTCACGTCTTCCAAACATTTGACGGGACTGGAGAGCTGGCTCTGTTGGGAGCATCCTTGCCGTGCAAGAAAGGGCACCTAAGTTTGAATTCAGCATTCACAGAAAAAGTCAAGTATGGCTGTGAGAGCCTGTACCTCCATCACAGGGAGCAGAGACAAGTGGGTCCTGGAAACTCAGGAGTCAAGTATGGCTGGGAGAGCCTGTACCTCCATCACAGGGAGCAGAGACAAGTGGGTCCTGGGAACTCAGGAGTCAAGTATGACTGAGAGCCTGTACCTCCATCACAGGGAGCAGAGACAAGTGGGTCCTGGGAACTCAGGAGTCAGCCAGCATACCTAAAATGAGAAACTTCAGTCAGAAACTTTGTCTCAAGAAAAGAAGGCTGAGGGGCTGGAGAGATGGCTCAGTGGTTAAGAGCACTGACTGGTCTTCCAGAGGACCGGAGTTCAATTCCCAGCAC